GTTCAAGTTTCAGTTCTACAACCTTCCTTATCAATTTGGGTGGGATGCCATGTGGCCTGGTTGCTTTCCTCGAGTTTATTCGACTGACTGCCTCTACCGCTGCCATAGTAAACGTTGGAACTTATGTAGCATTTGGAACTTTTAGTGTCCTTTCTAAATAGGTGTTTGTCTATTGTTTCCTTTGTTTTCTGTTGAAGGTTATAGGGCGGTGGAAAAAGAATGTTAAATTCAAAATAGCTCATGTAGTACATAAGTAGATCTTGAATTACTATATAATGTGTTTTCCTTTACTTTGTGAAAGTAATCCCTAAAAATTAGTTTTTATATATAAGTAAAATTCTTAAATCTCCTTAATGTCCTTCTTTACAGAGATATGCCCTTTTTACTTCTAACGTGAAATATGAATAATTTAAAATATCCGCAAAAAGAAATAGGAAGAAAAACATATTCGGAATCGAATCATTTATAAATTCATTTGTTATGCAAATTCGGTCCCGCTAATGCTGCTGAGTCCGGATCGAACTCAAAATACAACGTGACGTTTTCATTACTGAAACGGATATTAGTCCGCACCGCAAAAACATATTTCACTGATGACTATATATTCCGATGAACGTGAATTATTTATTTATAAATCGACAAAAAGTTTTACGAAATGGCCGCGTCCAGCCGCAAAATGTAAATTAAACGTTAGTAGTTAGTTGATGTTTTTCAATTAATCAAAAAACTTTTCCTCCCTCGTGCGGTGATTACGATATTATACAGGTTGTCCGGAAAATACGTAACGTACAATGATGGTTAAATCAAATAAAATTAGAGAAAACGAAGCTTACCTCCTAAAAAGAAGGGGTTTCCACAAGAAACAGGTTGCTTGCTTCCCCTCGGCTTAGCTTTACCTGTCGGCAAAACGACGAAAAAAAAGTTTATAATCCCAATAAATGTCAAAGGACGAAAAAAAAACTTCAATACAATCCTAATATAGATTTTGTACACCACCAACATCCACAAAGGCATCGCTCACACAAATAGGTTTACGGAAAAAATCCCTACACTCATAGATTGGAATGGAACAATATTCCGGGTTTTCCTGAAACAAATTCATATTTTTTTCATAATGTCAGAAACCAACTCGTGAGTAGCCCTTTATAGTACTTACCCAAAATTACCTTCGACCATCAGTACCACAACCGTCGTAGAAGTAATCGCTGATGATGATAATGATGAAAATGTGAAAATAGATGAAAATCTTTATCTTTCAGGTGCAAATTCCCTGAATAAACTTCTAGGAATTTTGTTTGTACTAAGTGCAATATACATTTATGCATTTCAAAAAACATTTTTTTTTTTTTGTTATATAACACAAAAAAATGATGAGTTGTGCCCTTATGTTGAATTTTACTTTTATTTTATTTTACAAAATTGCAAATACACTATAACTTATTTAAAATGTACAATATATTGTACAAGTCATATATACCGTTTGCTTACAATGAACAGTATATTGTTCAAGTCATATATACCGTTTGCTCACAATGAACAGTATATTGTACAAATCACACCCCAAAAAAGGGCGACTTAGAATTTTTTTGACTACACCAAAAAATAAAAAAAAATAAAGAGTATGTCTACTTAATTTCAGATTTTTATCTTAAAAAACAAAAATGCGTGAATCAAAGGGTACTCAAAACAAAACCTAATATAAATATATTGTTAGAAAAATACATCCAAAAAGTATTTGGTTGTCGTGACCTTTAATTCATCTTAAGGTGACCAGATTATTGATGGAATCTTCGACCAAAGCTTCGTGACATTCTAGTACTAATCCTGAGTAAATTCGTGGTCTGTCTAAGGAGAGTGATGCTTACTTGGTATCTGTATAGATGAGCATGTTCTTACAGTGATATTCTTTTTGATAACTTCTTTTGCTGCTATGAGAATCCCTTGAGCTTGGTTTGAACTACACTGGAACTATTGCTCACACCCCATTATATGTTTTAGTTCAAGTATCTAGAGTATATTATATATCTTGAGCCTTTTTTTTTTATTTAGAGCCATCGATTAGGATACCTGTCACTTCGAGCGCTTCTATTTGTTCCTTTATAACTTTATATACCTTATGGAAGATATATCTCGGTGAGATAGAATTCATGTTTGCCTGAAGCTGTGGAAGCGTATCGAGTGCCTTCTAACACCAGACGATGAGGTGTTTGGACTGGTCATATTTGTTATGTATTAAACGAGACAAAAACAAGACCTTTTTAAGTTGTTTAATTCTTAAAGACAATACAAAACTACAATGAGTATCATGACAGATACAGACGGTTGAAACGGACATGGCAGACTGTCTTCTTGCGTGATGCGCGCTGTCGACTGGCATGTCGAACTGTGTTCCGAAAACCAATTACAATATAACAACATTGAGGTGGCTAAACCTTTGAATTTGAAGAGGATTAGAAATAGTAGACAAGAATGACCCCAACGAGGAAATTTTAAAACTTGGGTCTGCATTAGACATGCCAGTAGCCAGGAATTATTTTTAGGAAACAATGAAACATCCAATAACTTACAAGCTGACAGCTGCTGCTCTCTGGTAGATTATAACGTGAGGATTGTAAAGTCATACCAGAAGACATTTTGACCAATTAGCATGGTATTAGAGACAGCTGAAACAAACGCAAGATAAAGATAAATTGGTGAGATTGAAAGGTGGTGGTACATCCGGAATGTAAATTGTGATGCTGAGAAAGGGAGAAAAATCATATCTAACACAGTGAAGCAAGTAGCGAAGAAAGTAGTTCAGATAACGAATAAGGAGGTTATCGAAAAATGGAAAAATTCAAGAACGCAGTAGGATTCGAGACAGTTAAAATGAAAGATGCTAAAAATATACTTGAGTATATGAACAATAGGGCCACGGGGGTATTACGCTAAATTGCGCCACCTGTCAGTGTTGGAAACAAACGGCGCTATGAAGGAAACGTGACGTAGATTAACATTGAAGAGAAAAATCCCGCGCAGTAGCAATGTCAAAAGAACCTATGTGTATATATCCGCTGTTATTGGTCCGATTTAAACGAGGAAAACGACGTTGTGAATAAAACGCAACATAGATTAATTAAAAAGGAAAATCGTGCGTAGTGTCAATGTCAAAAGGACCTAAGTCTATATCTCTGTTGTTATTGATCCGATTTAAATGTGTAAAACGGTACTGTGTAGCAGACGCAACATAGATTTACTTTGAAAAGAAAAATAATGCGCAGCAGCAATGTGAAAAGGACCTAAGTCTTTATCTGAGCAAATATTGGTCTGATTTATATGATAAAATCAGAAAATTGGAAGGAAATTACATGTAGATTAATGTTGAAGAGAAGAATTATACGCAGTAGCATTGTAAATAGGAAATGAAGATCTAACTTTGCTAATATTGGTCGGATTTTAATCAAATTTTAGAGGCTACTTTTGTGAAACATACTAATAATGTTTCTATTACTTATTGTGCATTATTGTCACTTTTTTAAATTTATATCTGTGCTTCTCATAATTAAGATATATTCCTGTGAAAATATTTATCTAGAGTTAGAGACTAGGGACGGAGAAACATTTACATGATGCTCTTTTCATTAAATCTGTATATTAAAAATATTAGAGGAGAAAGACAATACCTTTGGTTGCATTTTTAAATACGCTAGAAACCGAATTTCCATTTAATTCTTGGAATTTAATGCAGAATAATGTTGAAGTAAATAAGAGAAAACCATAGCACTCATTAGTAGATGCTTTTTGGAAACAATCATTCGTGAACTACCAGCATTTAATTACGGACTCTAAAAGACACAAGAGCATCGCGATTTTTCTTTATTTACCAAAAAACAATTCATTAAAACATTTTACGCCCGGCCCGCCGCTCACTGTTTAATTCCGGATTTAGTTACAGAGAGCATTTCACCGGAATACTCTCAAAAAAAAAATTACCATCCATAGTTACCTATTTTGAATTAAAACTCTTTTGTTTCCCAAAAACAAAAAACGACTGACTCTCAGGTATTTAAATTAAAACGGAATGGAGATTTCATTCGATCAAATTCTTCATGTGGCTTGCGGGCATTGGATACAAGAAGCACTGTGCTCTAGAATGGTGGGTGTGAAGGACATTTTTTTCGAAACATAATACTTGTTGATGGGAAAAGATCTGTTAATGGAAGACGTGGATGAAGTAAAATGCTGGCAAACTTATAGAAACGAAATATCTAGGAAAGGAGAATGTAATTAAATAAAAATATTACTCCATACTCGCAAGGATCTCGCAAAGTAATAAAGAAAAATGTTTGCAGATGAAATGAGAAATTATTTAATGAGCGATAAAGTTGGAGTGATTCACCAACAGATTTAGCGGAGGAGGTGTCAATAAGGGGAACTGTGTTATCCTTTTTTGAACCTAATTACCACAGCTGTTGATACCCTTAGCCGTTGATACCTAATGAGGAAAAAGTTTGGACCTGCTCTTGGATGACTTAATACAGTTAATGTACCTAATTCATTTAAAAGTAGTAGCCAAAAGAGGACCAGAGAAGAAACACTAGAACTATAATCCAAAATGTACCAAATAGTAAAGTACAGGTTTAAAAAAGGCTCGCTTCAATAAAACAACAATTATTACCTACAGGAAAAATATCAGAAAACAAGCACATGGGGAAACCTTCATGAGAGGAACACATTTAAAAAGCACCTAATCACAGAAGAGTTTTACTTTTTATAATAATTAAAAAAAGATACTACTTTCCTAGAAAATAACTGAATTCCAGAATTTTTAATAGCAGCTTCATACAATCGTTCAGAAGATGTCCAGCTTCAAGTTTCAAGGATCTACTTTCCATATTAAATTTCGTAAACTTTTTACATTGCATTTGTATTTTATGAGTTCATTCTCATTTTTTTTTATTTCTAAATTTTCTTATACTTACAATGTTATTCCACATTTTTCACGTAGCATAGTGGAGAAAATGAATTTATTCGTTATATATGATCGTCTAAATACTTTTGGTTGGATTTCAATCATCCAGCTAAGTGAACATCTTGCACCACTTCCTAATGGAAAAACAGCACAAACTTTGTACTCAGATTCCTGGATACACGTTATTATAAGGCATAAGGAAAATTTCATTCTTGAGTTATTGTTCAAGACAGCAAAAGATGAGGTTTGCGTTTTAGGAACTTCAGATTTGTTCTTTTTCCTTTTTCCCTTTTACGCGTATACATTGTTTGTATTTTCTTGTAAAAGGAAAAGAGGTTTTACCGGTAAATGAACCTTCTGCATACTTTATATTGCAAGCGGGAGACTTTTAATATTTAAATGTAACGTGATAAAAGAGGCACCAGTCTGGCAAATGAGATTTTTAGTTTGTTAAAAGAAATGAATAAATAAATAAGCAAAAGTCCAAAGCCGTCCAAAACCATATACGGAGTGTCCCAAAAGTCTGGAAACGGCCAATTATTTCGTAAATTGCTAATCCTAATTGTACAAAATTTTGGGGTACACCAATCATGATAAATCAAATTTCGTAATTTTAACAGACAGCAAAAGTGCTATTGATTCTTTAAAAAATATACAAATTTCAAGTACATTACCAGTAGTAATAATGAAGATTTTAGAAACAGCTAGAATTCTCCTAACTATGAGGAAGACCTTTTCTTTGGTTTGGATCAAAGGCCATCAAGGTATCATAGGTAATGAAAAAGCAGACCAGTTTGCAAAATTAGCTACAAACTCTGGAATACTATTAGATGAACCACTAATGCCATCCTCGGATTTAAAATCTTTTTTTAAGAAAAAACAATTAGAAAGCTGGCAAGAATTATATTCCAACTCAATAGTAGGAGTACGGTTTCGAGAGATAAATCCCAAAATTAGTAGAAAGCCATGGTTTATTGATATTTCAAATCGCCATATGATTAAAACTATAAATAGAATAAGATGTAAACATGGGTTATATCCTGAACACAAATTTAAGATAGGTTTGGCAGATTCACCATTCTGTAGTTGTAGGCTATTGGGTAATTTACAACATTTAATCTTTAGCTGTCCTAATTTTCAAAATCTAAATGAAGAATTTTACAAGAACCTGCAATTAACAGGAGCAACACTCTCCACCAACTTAGATGCCCTTTTATGTTCAAAAAATATAAAACTGTACTATGTTATATATGAACATTTGAAAAAAATGAATCAAGATATTTAAAAAAAAAAAACAGATATAATATTAAAAAAAAAAAAATAATAATAATAATAATAATAAAAACAAAATAACAATAAAAAGAAAAACAAAAAAAAACAAGAAAACAAAAAAAAATATATATATAAAAAAAAAAAGAATTCGTCGCCTATAATATAATTATGTATAATTAATTGTATCACAACTGTTTTAACTGTTGTTTAATTGTTAATATGATGAAAATTTTGTACTTTTAATATATTTTAGGTTCCTTCATTATTAATTATTGTATTGTTGTAATTTGTGAAAATTGTAAGTACCTAGGTTTAGATTCGTTTTAATAACATTAGCTCTGGCCAATTGATCTGAGATCAAGGCCATCATACAAAACACACACACACACCTATTTTGGGATACGGAGATTCCAGATTTGATATTTGCAATGTTGCCAGATTTGCCGTTTCTCTTATATTATTAGTCACTTTGGTTTTTTAAATTAATCACCCTGTATATTCAGTCATTATTGGAATCTCCTATTCAATACGAGTTCAACCATATGTAACACTTATGATTTTATGTAGTCTGGAAGGTCTTAAATAAAAGAAAGCACTTAATATGTCTTGTGTCACCAGAATAGCATAAAGCTTGATGCAAATCAAATAAATTTTTATCTCTGCTTGGACCACAAACTCGAGGAAACATATCACGTACATTTTGCCCTCCAAGCCTGTATACTATTATCATAACTATAAAGAACATGACGCAGATTAAATGAAATTCGGGTATTGGTAAAGATACTTATCGTCAGTTTTTTAACTTAATTCCAATAGCATTTATTTAAGTCATGCTTAAAGTGTTAATAGGGTCTTATTCTTACCGAAATTGTGTAATTTATAATCATAATTAAATCAAATAATTCAGAAAGGCCAAATATTCTTAAATCATCAAAATGACCCATTTGTCACTCTCCCTTTCGCCGAATAACCCACTCCTACAAATCCGACAATTAGACTTGGAAACGCTGCCACGGTTACTGATTGACGCGACATCGATCGTCGAAACAAACTTGGCTGCGACAGTAATCTGCATCAATCTTCATGAATCCGAAGATTCGGTGTCGACAGCCACCCGAAAAATATCGAATCAAAAAATTTCAAAGTCAAACGGCGAATGATTGATGAGGGCGCTTCGTCGCATACCACGAATATCGTCGCGAACGACATAAAAACAATTATTGCCGCGCAACTTATTTCATTTTTTAGATATCTGAATTGACTCCAAAAATTTTTGGATATTATATAGAGTGAGTTCATAAATAGAAATAAAATTATTAATAGAGACATTGCGATCACAACATAGTCCCTCATTAAGTTTTGACTTCATGTAATTGTATTTTTAATTTCTATGTCAATTTTATTTTGAGGTTATATAAGTACCAAAGTGCCAATGTCAAAGTCATAAGTAAGTAGATCGTAGTCAATACTCTTCTATCTCAATCGATATCAAGGCTTACTAAAAAATAATGCGCCATTAGGTATTAACCCTTAACTACTGACACAGAATTTCCTAAAGAGGTACGCGTAACCTCTTTAACCTTCTAATCGTCTCCATAATGTTTTCCCTCCGCTGCCTCCTTGGGTACCTACCTAAACTAGACTCTGTGTTAGTGTTTACGATACAATTACTATAAAATCAAAATGGTTAATTTTTCAAACAAAGCAGTAAGATTTTTTGATAAAGACTTTGATAAAAAAGTTATTTCTATGGAAAAAATAGATGTTAATGGAGTATGGATGAATCTATAAGAAACAGCCGTATCCCAGCATATAATATTGTACGTTTCCAACGACACGTGGGATTGTTAATTCGCACTGACCCTAGGGAGTTCTGTCATAAATTATTTTCTGAAGAAATGTATCAACCAATTATAGCTAACAAATAAAAAACTAAGTAAATCCTTCATAATTGCAAGCTTTCTTTGAATTGCTATTGTAGATTATTAAGTCTAACCCTTGCTATTTTTTTTTTGTTTCTCAGTTTATTTATTTTAGTTTTGTTGTTTGTTGTGACATTTAGTTTTACAATTCACTTTTTTTGTAAGAAAATACTTTTGATTTTGTTATTATCTTTAAGAATGTTACACGTGATTTTGTTCCAAAATCATGTTTTGTTTTTAATGCCACTAATGTTACATTATAATCACTGTAGAATGTTTTATTACAAAATTTTAAACTAAGGTATATGCTTTATGTGAAACACAAATTAGCAAGAAAACTTAAAAATTTCGAAAAATAAAGTTTTGAAATCAGAGTCTATGACACTTCAAGACATTATCTGTGTCCTACAAAAAATACACAAGAATAATGGAACAACTATCCAAGACTGAGACATGCCAAAACTGTTCATCAAGGAACCATCAGCTGGATCAAAAACGTTAAATGGTTAGGATAACAGTAGGTCTTCTTATTGGACACGTTCGCCTAAGAAGGAACATGAGTGTCCTCAATCCAGCACAAGAAGCAACTTTGTGCGGGTTCTGTGAAGGCCTGGCTAGATTGATGTTTCTAACATTAGGCGAAGAACGGCCAAAAGCATGCAAGTAGATGAGGGAGCCTCTGCTAAAGCTACCAAGTCTAATAATCTAAAAAAAAAAACGGAGTCCCATAATAGATCTGAAAAGGTCGCGCTGACAAGGACAAATAATGTCCAACTCCTTTTAAATCTAATCTAATATGTCTCCTAAAATTAGGGTCTGTAGTTAAGGCTAAAATCTATGAACATTTTCTGCTTTTTATTTTAACAAATATCTTGTAGATATTTAACTTTTTTTCTTAAATATCTCTGTATATTGCTGCCTTATTTTTGCACAAATTTAAAGCTCTCAATATTCCCGAGAAACATAACATAGTGGAGTATTCCCAATGGAGCGCATATAAAAACAATTTTATATTAGAAAATCCTCACAACATTTGTGCTTTTCGCCAAAGGTCCGGTTTACTCTTAAAGGTACCATTTGGGAACGCGAAACCGAAACACGAGACAAAGGCAAGGGACCGCGTAACGCGACCGAAAACAGTCTCTTTACATCTGAATCACATGTAATTAAATGAAGCCAGTTCCGGATCGAGTGACAGTGACAGCACTTTCAACACGTAAACGTGTGTGCATCGGTCGTCTGTCGCTTGCATCGGTCTCGCGTTCCTTTAAGCTCTTTCGTAGGCACACAATAAGTTATTTACTGTTATATATTACTAGTCATTTTCATCCATCTGGATAGAAAAGATAAGTAAGTTTCGCAAAACTTTACAGCTCTGGGTAATTCAATTGCATCCTCCTTTTGAATTTATAGTTTTAGGTAATTCCAAAACTATAAGTTTAGACATATGTGTGGAGCTACATTGTCACTAGTTTCCTTTTGATAACTTAAAAATTCTAAGCATAAATCATACACTTTTCTTTAGTTGCATCATCATACAATCTATGTAGTTCTTGCCAAATCTGTCTTGCTATGGAAAATAGCATTATTTTCTTCAATATATCCTCAGACATACTGATTAATTCAACTCGTTATTAACGTAAAGTACCTTTATTTTTTACAATACAGAAGATTATAAAGCAAAGTTATTTTGAATTAAAAGTTATATTCAAATATGCAACTACAGTCATTTAGCATGAAAATTCAGGTTAGGTGATTATTTACGTTTTACATTATAAATTATTTATAAATTAGTTAATGATCAAACCTGAATTTTAATGCTAAATACTGTATAAGTAATTACTAGTACCTAGAACAAAGAGAAAATATAAAATAGTAACTATCTCAACAACCCCTTCTAGAAAAGGTATAATACAGTAAAACTGGGTTGTTATTCAAAGTATTTTTTACACTAAACAAACGGTTCATAAACTAAAACAATCATAAAATATTTACAAACATTATTAAAACTAAAGGGATTCCTTGATCTACAAAAAAGAAAGATTACAAAATTAATTCAGTAATATAAAACTTGAAAATGAGTTTTTGTGTCTGTTTGGCGGAACAAATGAATTCAATATTTGGTAGTTTAAGATCTCTGCATTCTTTTTTATAGATTTTCATTTTATTTTATCCTTTTTTCAGATATTTTCATCAGCAGAAATATGGTTCAGTCTAGACGGCGAACGATACCAATCGGCAGGAGTGCGAGCTATTATTCCTGCTGACCGCATGCGAGAATCTGCTCGAAACGTTACAATTAAACTTCGAGGACGACCGGCAAGGTTCATCAGGATCCGATTGTCCTTCGCCGACAAATGGATGTTGATTAGCGAGATTGCATTCGATTCACGTAAGTGAAAAATTATATTTATATTGTAGAAGTAAAATAATATCTATTTAATTACCTTCAAAACACAATGCTGGAGGTACTTATTCGTTAGTAGGTCCTTTTATGTCCTTAACCATGAATATTGTTTCTTTTACATTGTTTTTGAACCATCCTTAGCGGATTACAACGATCAGCAAAAAGCAATTAATATTTATCAAACGATTTACTACAGAAGTATAACAAAATAATAGAATCTAGGAGACTTTTTAACACAGCAGAGACAACAGACAGGCAAACTTATACTGATATAATATAAACAGACATTTCAAAAGCCTTTGGTCCAATAGATAACTATATGTTCTAATCATTAAACTTGCTTCTTACGGATCCTTACCTTCTTTTCATTATTCCAGTCCTATATAAACAACAGAAGACAATATCATTGCATTTTCCAGATTTAAATATGTAGAATACTTAGCTTCTTCTGGTGGATCCGAAGGTAGCAACTTGGGACCTCTCTTATTTGATATATTTATCGATAATATTACAAATATAATACGGATCAACTATATTTTATATTCAGACGTTATGAAGTTATTATGTGAATATTCACCATTGTGTTTGGTTATCTGATACCACAAATTCAATGATGTACTGATAAAAAATTACTTTTTAATAAAAATAAATGCAATTTTTATACGTTAAAAGCCTGTCCCATAACATATCAATTTTCCGTTTGACAAACAACTTCACTTTGTAGTTCATGTTATAGAAAATATACTGCAACGAGTCGAGTCTATACCGATACGCGCAGATTCTTTTTCAATTTTTCTATTAGCCCACGTACACATCGTGAACGTGTGTCACGCTCATTATTTTGTTGTATTTATTACTCCATTTATCTTAAATAAATAAAAAAACAAATAGCACATGAAATTTACGAAATATGTATATTCGAAAATTAGGACGAAACAAATAGAGCAATGTAACCGAATAACCAGCTGCAATAACATAATTTTCAGAAGTTTATATGACCCGGGGCGGGGCAAATTACATCTTGCTTCGGGGTTCAAGCCGGCCATTACGAGCTAGGCGTATTATTCAAAGGAGCAAGTCCGATTGTACAAATTAACAAACGTTCAGAAACTCAACTGCGCCTCTAGATTTTGCTTTATGTTTTAACTTTATTCAAATAAGCAAACATTTATTTATACAGCACGTCAGAACATGTAAATAAACTAAAAATCTGTGCGCTACTTTTCCCAAAAAAAAAGAAAGACCTATACATAAAAAAAAAGAAAATTGGTGTGCGATTATGTAAACAATTCACTTAAATATACAGGACGGACTTAGCTGAACAAATCAAGGTTTATTCGCAGCTGCAGTCAACTCGTAGTACAGTACTACCACACTAGCTAATATAGGCCGCTCAGCCCTTCGAAATCTACAGGTGATCCAAATCTCCATCTACACCAAATGTTCCAATTCAAATGGGGTTTTCTATACCTCCTCCAAGACTCCTATCCAAATGGGGTTTTCTATTCCCCCTCCAAGAATCCTCAAATAGCCAATAAAACTGATTAAGGCATCACTAGACCATTCCATACAAAAAGATAATAAAAAAAAAATACCATTAACTGTACCCACGCCTTTAATTTAAAATATACAATCTAATAGCAAAATAAAAAAAACTTACTATACAAATATTTGAGATAACAAAACAAAAAAAACTTACTCAACAATAAGTTGAACCCAAATAGCACCCACCATATTAACAAAGAATTTATATACTCTTTAACGACTAGAGAAAAGGATAAAAAAAACGGTACTTGCAAAAACTTACCCTTTTAATCAGAAAAGGGACCAAATCCAAACCAACTCGGGTTCTTAACGAGCAAAAGCGGTTATGGCCAAGGTGTTTTTTAAAGGGACCAGCTATACAATTCAAAAATCCACTAATCCTCCCTGACGGAGATGGCTTACAAACCCCTAAAAATCTTCCCTTAATCCCAAGGATGCTCAACAGCAAAAAGCAAAACCGTCCAACTTAGCTAACCAATACTAGTTTTCTCTTTTTTTAACCAACGCCGGCTTTAACTTCTCCGTCTATCGAGAGTCCTCGCCGCAGACCGAACGTTCGCGACTAATTACCTCTTGATCTAGTCGTCACCTGCAGTGGGATTCTCATGTTTCGTACTCGAGACGTGTTGTAACGAGAAAGATTTTGCGATTCCTATCTCGGATATCGAGAAGGGATAATATCGATCTTAAATGTCAGTGTCACTCGCTTCATCTTTAGGTGCCGAGAATCGATTTTTAACCTGAAATATTGTAATTTTGTGTCAATAATATCAATAGATAATTATTTAATTTTCGTTTTAATAAAATAATATGAGGAGTATGAAAAAATGTTTCCTCCCAAGATGTGATAATGATTTACATTTATTATTAAATATATTTATTAGTGTTGCCAAAAATATGAAAAGAAGGAAGTTATTATTATTATTACACAGAAAAGCTTCAAGCAACAGCTAAATTATTTTAAGGTTTGTATAGTATCTATACTCTTTATTAAAATGAAAATGTTTTATTGTAATTTATTAGACTTCAATTATCTACCATTGTAGTAACGATGTTTTTTCTTTTTTTTTTTAGATACGGGATGATTTTGAAAACTGTTCATTTTTTAAATGATGGATAAACCTTTACATATAAATGGGTAGTACCACACAAATGTCTGCAAAGTTCTTGTTATTCACCACACCTCACTGATTCTACCAAAAACAGAAAAAATGTTTCTATAAAGTTGACTGGAAAATAATCTACTAGAGGCGTTTTTATCTCTATTTAATAAAAATACACCGGATCTTCAAGATGCAGTAGTAATTTGTGACATTGCCCCCTTCAGAAAATTTAAAATGGGCCTACTATAAGTTCGAAGGTGTATAACCTAAAACCCTCCTTCGGAACCTACTGAAAGTTTTGAAGATAGTAAAGTTTTGTCTGAATCAGAAGAAACATCTTTAATATTTGAATCAGAGGGATTTAATAATAATGAGCAGGTTATTCAAGACTATTGAACTCTCAAAATAAATGAAAATAAACTGAAGGTATATTTAGGATTGCCCAACAGTGTTTCTAAAATCCTCATCATATTTATGAGAAGGAAAGTATAGCTTACATAAACCTTTTACATTTCTGTGTAAATTAAAAGAACTCATTTTGTAAGACTAAATACTTAATATTTTAATAAACTGTTTTTTTTTAATGAATTTATCACATTATTTCAGGGATTATAATAAATGTATACAAACAAAAATGTAAAATCTATGAAAATTTTATTTATTAACCTATTATTAAACAATAAATGTACCTGAATAAGATAAACGAAGTAACAAACACTTTATTTACAAATAATAAAAAATATATACAAGCCCTAACAATAATGTAGTTGAACAAATTAAACGTTTCTCTAAAAATTCATTATCAAATTCAATTTGTTATCTACCTCAGCATTATTTACTTCAAATGTGGGAGAAATATTTTATGTTCATGTGTAATTATTCCGTTTACTGTGCAACCAGCCAGCCTTGCAGCTAACAGATAGAACATAATGCTTATGTAAGTAAATAATTTTAAGTAGTTATATTTAGTTTTTGTGTAGTCAGTAAAGACTATGTGATTGCAGAAGCAATATTAGTTGTTTTTATTTGTCAAATAAATCACATTTGTTTTACGCTTGTTTCAATTTTCTTTGGTTTATGAAAACTTACGATCATTCAAAGGCGGGGGTATTGGCTTAATCCAATCTCTGAGGGAGAGGGAGATAGAAAACTGCCAAAGGGAATAGTTCCTGTAGGGCAAACCCTTTCCCCGTCCTCTGAATCATTGTCAGGAAGTTAGGGTTCCTTCTGAACTTAACCCCCTAGCCGTGTGTTATCTAGAGGCAATTTAAATACAAATTGGGCCCCTCTATATAACCCGTGATTACCGCTAAGAGTGGACTTAAGGGTCAGTTAAAAGGCCTATAATCTCACTCTTAACAATATCTCTCATGTGAACACGGCCCATTTTTGTGATCAGTTTCTTGTTCAGCAAATTTACAAAAAAGCAGTGATCAGCAGAGGTATGAGATCTCTATATTACAAACATGATAACCAGACAGTTTTTAAAAATATAAAACACATGGTAAAACTTTACTTTTTACTATTTTCACTTGTACACTAACTACTGTCAACACTTTTTATTAACTGCAAAATATTAATTTGCATCTTCTATGTCTTGTTCAGGAGGAGTTACTAGTTTATCTTGAAACAAATCACTTTCATTAACTAACCCTTATTGTGTGTTCTAATTATTATATTCAAACTGATTGGAAATTTTTTTAATTTTGAGTTATTTTTATTATTCTTTGTTAGATTTTGAAGTAGATGGAACAGAGTCATAAGAATGTTCCTTAATAATTGGCAGTTTTAAAGGAGAGTTTCTTTTTATTTGAGATGTGGCAGCTGCAACATAAAAAAAATTAAATAAACATTAAATAAAAAATATACCTAGGTATTACCTTTATAAGTACCTATAAATCTTTAAAATGCTGAGAACAAACTTTCTTTTCATAAATTTTACTTCCCTATTTTCAAGTTTTGAAGCATACTCTTCTTGCATCCACAAGTTCAGATTTTCCACTTTTATATTACAAAATTACCTTACATCTACCGGTTTTAGGAAACCGATGAAATGTAACAGAATGCCATTTTTTTTTCATGAAATAATTATACAAGGATTGCATTGAGACCACGGTATTGAGGCACACAAGTGTCTTCCACTCATTTTACTGTATTTTAAAATAACAATATGTATTCTACTAAACGTCTAATTTAATAGAAATAACAAAAATTTTATACATTAGCTTAATATTATTAAATAAAATATTTCAAACGAAACATTTTCTAACCAAAAACACCATTTAATGACATATAACAACAACCAAGAAACATAAAACGCCAACGCGAAGGCAGCCC